CCTCCACCGACCTTTGACCCAGGTCACACGGTTCTTGAGTAGAGCATCGGCGACGACAGCCAAACGTGACTCGTCATCAAAGTTGGATAGGAGCTCGCGGAAGACTTCGATCTGGACGTCGGGGAATATGGCGGCAAGGGCCTCGAGGCTGTTGTTCAGCTCCCGCAGATCAGGGGCCTCAGGCGGGGGAGGGGGCAGCTGCGACTCTTCAAAGATGAAGCCGGGCGGCGAGGCATGGTGATGGTCTTTGGCCTTGCTGCTGCTGCTGCTGGTAGAGGCGGTGCTGGTATGGGATTTTGACCGTTTCGACGAAGACCCGTCGCTCGAGGAGAGGAGGCCAGGGAACATCATTCTGTCAACTCATTCTGGGAAGCGTAGAGACGGAGTCGCGGTGAACGGCAGGCAGAGGAACATGCGAGTATAAAAGAGGCCGTTGTCGGTCAAGGTGTGCCGAGCAGAGGCGAGCGAACGAGGGACGCGAGGCGCAGAGGACGATGTACGGAGACGTAAAAATAAGATCCGAGGAATCTGGTACGGTTACGTGGAAATAGTTTAATTACCTGCCCTGGTTGCACATCACCGCGCCGTTGATTTGATGGCCAGGTTTAGCAGGTTGGAGTGGCCACAGGGGGCCGGCAGCGCTAAGCTCTGCCCATAATTCGGTGGCTACCCTATACGGACATATTCCCCAGGGCCAAAGCAGGGAAGCAACAGCGGTGAATGCATAATTGGCAAGGCTAAAGGCAATGAATATAACGATCGAATGGTTGACTGAATTTTGTGTCAAGACAAGAAACAAGAAAAGAGAGTACCACGTATAGACAGCGATTCAGTTGGATTATTAGGAGTAAAGGAAATACTGGGGATTCTGATACATGGAGGCTTAAGACATCAGGTCTATGTAAATAACTTCCAGTTATCTGGGATCGTGTAAAGACCCAGAAGCCTTTCGATATGCCAGAGAGCGAGATGAATATCTTTATGGACTTTAATCTAAACATCTTGTAGTGGAAGCCCGAAAAGAGACCAGAAGCGATGAGGTCCTCCGGCATGGGTAGTTCAAAAAGAGTTCCAATACTTCCCGGGAGTTTACTGATTGAGCGTCCAAAAAGTGATGATCTGGGGATGTTGTCTTGGCGGGATAATCTACCAAGCTCCTCACAACTCGGATTCTGGTAATATAATACAAGTATGTCATTGTCCAGCTTCCTACCTACCCAAGCGAGTGACATAAAACATGGCACACCCGGAACCTCCAGCGTTGAATCTCAACGTAATATCAAAACAATTATTTAATAGTATCAATAGTATCAAGCTAAATACTGCGTAATAATAATCATGAATATACTAATTATTGTGTTTAGTGATTTTGATACAAGAATGAAGTCCTTGACTTGCGTGAACAGAGCTTTGGTGAGCCCTGTTTTATGTCACTCGCTTGCTACTTATTGGGCAAGTACTAAAGTTGTGCCTTTCTGAATCCCTGTCGGCTGTTGTTGTGAACAGATGGTCAAGGGTCAGTACCAAGTTTGGATGTCTATAAACAGGGAAATGTAGACCAGGCGGACGAGGATCCTTCACAAGTCCTAGATTCAGGAAATAGTATTGGTTCGGGGATTGGCAGCTTTGGCGATGGGCACTGGGAATGGTGATGTGATGGTGCAGAGGCGGGGCCCAGCAGATCTCGATCACCAGTCCAAGTGTAAGCAACTCCCGTAGTATACCGAACACATGCTACATGCTCACCCAGAGCAAAAGGACTTGTCGATTGTTTCCAATTGGCTTATGGAGGCCGCAACAGGTCTCCTTCATGTGAAGAACGTCAGCGTGGATGTGCCATTGATGCATTGCCATTCCCGCCGGCTACTGTAGCCTGTGCTAGAAGCTACAGGTACAAGTACCCACTAAAGCACCATCACGGCGACCACCGTCGCTCGTTCACAGGCCATAAGTATATCCCCTGTAGGCTGTAGGCTGTGGACTTGATATATTGACCTGGAGAATCGAACAAAACCATGAATTTATTCTCTTTCCAATCGCATGATTTCGGAATGCAATAAGGTAGATGCCATCGGCGTAAGCTATCCAAGCCCCGATTTGACCAATGCCGATACGACACTTGAGACGGACCATTCATGCAGGGAAAAGCATACAGGTAGCATTGCCTAAATCTTGGTGCAGTAGATCAGGGCCATCCGTTGCAATATTGGATGCATATTGCTACCACATCCGGGACATACGCGCAACGCACTCACACCATTGGGCTCTCGGCTAAGACATGACAGCTACGCCGTCAAGAGCCGTCAAGCCAAAAACGAGAGCATCGAAAGGGTGGTGGGCAGAAGGCAGTTCCCCGGTCGATACCAGGCTCAACCAGCTTGCCCTCTTCTGGTCGGGTCACCTGTCGAGTGTCTTCTGGGGGAAGATGCTTGCCCGCATATGGATGCATCTAAATATCCTGGTGTATCACCTGCCCAGACAATGCTTGTTTCGTGACGCACACACATCGCGCCACTATGCCCCTTTAGATGCCGGCACCAGCTGGAATGTGCTGAGCATCGCGATACCCGCCACCAACTCTGTCCGTATACAAAGAGTAAGGTCTGTATAGATTATTATGATGAGGTTTCTCTAATTCAGTAGATATGAGCACTAATCTGGATGTCGGAAGTGGTCGCGTGCTTAGCAGTTAAGCAGCCTACGTAATTGTTTACTATGACATGGTCTAGGGGCAAATCGTTGAACATCATCGACACCAAACACCGTCTTCCGCCTCCGCCCTCCTACCCCACTCTTACTGTCACCCTCAAGCTCTCGCGGGTGCTCTCAGGGTGCAAACTTATTTTACGTACTGGCAATGGGTAAATGGATATGGGTGTATGCAAGCACAAAATCTCCGGTGCCATACAAGGCTAGCAAACACCTCCACGTTCAGGTTTTGGTCTTGGACCAGACCAACCCGGGCCAGGCCCCTCTCATGGTTGCGTAGCTCTCGCCTTGCAGGTACGTAAGTAGGTCGTGCAGTGTGTGGTGCCTTCCTTGTACGCAGATGCATCCATCAAGCCATTAGCCCATCCATATATAAGACCTGCCTCCCTCTTCCCGTCCTGCCCTCCCCCAACAATTCCTGTCCCCCACTCCCATCCCTCCCTACAATTGCATGTGCCTGTTTGTGACCAACTATTTCTGATCAATTGTCCATTGAGAAGCTCTGATATCGGTATTCGACGCCGCCATGGCTAACTGGGGTAAGTCCTTCATCGTGCTGCCTCTCTGACCCATCACTAAACGAAATCTTTCTTCCTGTAGCCAATCCCTTCAGCAGGAGAGAGTCTTACGGCTCGGGTGCTGTCACCACCTACAAGGTCCTCACCCTCCTGACCTGGCTCCTTTCCGTTGTCGTCTCTGTCTACTATGTTATCAACGAACCTCACGATGGATTCACAATCCGCAGGCGTATCTGGGATCAGAACGATCTCTACCGCACTGCCTTCACCTTGAACTCCGTCATTGGAAACATCTACTGGGTCGTCCTCTTCATCCTCCAGTTTGGGTACCTCACCCATCTCTTCTCCTCCAACGCCGACCACGTTCACGCCGCAGCGAGTGTCGGCAGCCATTTCATCCTCAACAATCTCTTCCATTTCGCATTCGTTATGCTCTTCGTCCGTTCCCACTTCATCTGGGCAGAGCTCATCCTTGTTCTCAACTTCTTTAACTTGAGCTCTCTTTACTTCCGCCACAACACTTACCCTCGCTTTATCCATGCCCCCGTTGTCTCCGGGCCCCTGGCTTGGACGTTTGTGGCCATCTACTGGAATGGCGCTCTCATGATCCGCCACCCCCACCATCTGGTCCCCCGAATCTTTGGAAACATCTTCATTTGGGCCATTTTGGTCTATGGGCTCTTCTTCATCATAATTTACAAGGTACGTGGAACGACACATGGAAAACCACACGCCAACTGACATGCTCGTGATGTAGGATTACACCATCGGCTTTGCCCTCAGCGTACTCTCCGCTTCCATTGGCGTCGCACAGTTTCTCCATCAGGTCATTGCTCTACAGTGGATCTTTGCTTTCATCATCATGGCCCTGCTGTTCATCGCCACCGTCACCGTGGCCGTACCAGCTTGGACAGGACGCGAGGTCTTCTGGAAGCGATCTGCCCCAGCCGACGGAGAACGCGCTCCTCTGCTCACCGAACCTTAAGAGCAAAATAAAATCAGGCGCCAAGTACATCGATGCTTTCTCCAATTGGGACCCGGCCCATATTTAACCAAGCTTCGATTTCTCCCATCTCAGACCGGTGTCTAGCTAATCGAACCGGCCCTTTTGTGGTGCTGTCTCTATTTCCCCTATTCCATATTTGCTTGGAGGATTCCATGGCAAAAGCATCTGGAGCTCTGGACCTAAGAAAGAAGGATGTTGTTATATGATTTTTGAATCGCATTAATTCCTCCGGCTTCGGAACTCTTGACCTGTTGTGCATTTGGTTGGCTGCTGTTATGTTGTTTTTCTCCTCAATTGATATCCTACTCTGGATAATTAATGAACAGATAGTACTAGGCTTATTCCAAATCAAGCATTTTTCACCTGACATGGACCATTTCCTCCGATGCCTCGGATCGCGAAGAGGATCGGAAAGTCGCGTCTTGCATGCCATTTTCTATGACGTATGGGGCTTTCCCGCTCCCCGCACTCCACAATCCATTTTTAGTATAGTACCTGTACTGGCTGGGGCCGGCACGGAAGAGACGCAAGAGGTACCGGTACTTCTGGAAGCGCAAGAGTTCCGCTCTGAAGACCCACTGTTTCCGCTGTAGGTTTGTGGATTCTATCAACTTCAGCTTTATACTTGTAACTACCAGGCCAGTGAAAGTGCGATACGACCTGTGAGTGCGCAGCGCTTGTTTTGGTAGGCAAGTAGGCAATATCATTTGCTTGACTCTTTAGACAGTTCTGCCGAGGGGGGCTAGAGAGACGTTTGTAAATAGCAGATGCGGCCGCTGAGGGCCTTCCCGCTGCCCATCAATGTGGGAACCGACATCTGCCAGATCAGTCGCATCTACCGCATCCTCAAGGGGCCCCGTGCTGCCCGTTTCGTCGACCGCATCCTGGGACCCCATGAGAGGGCCGCCGCTGCTTCACGTCTCCTGCCGCTCAGAACAGAGGGCAATCACAACTCCCCCTCACTATCGTCAGGTTCGGTGGCTCGGTCGGGAGGTTCACGTGATGATGAGCTCTGGAAGACGGCGGCGTTCATAGCTGGGAGGTAAGAGATACAATTGCTCCCGTTCCGCTCTGAAACCTCTTCCCCGGATTCAGGGGGGCTAAGTCGACAACGCCTGTGCTAAAATATGTGTAGGTTCGCCGCCAAGGAGGCCGCCATTAAGGCACACTCACACCGCAGGCTCACATTCCACGACATAATCATCGAGAGGCGGGGCCGCGACGAGGAGCGGCTGGGCAGCGGGCCTCCCGTGGCTCGGATCAGGGGCGAGCCGGGGGACGACTGCGACTCGAGCGCCATGATCTCCATCAGCCATGATGGGGACTATGCCACTGCCGTGTGCATCGGGCATGACCCCAGCGTCACTATAGAGCCAGCACCAAGGAAGCCAGACTGAGACTTTTTTGTGTAGCATTATTTTATACTTGTATAGCGCCAGTGTACAAACTGACGGGCGGGTTGTTCATCTGAGAATTGTTTACCGTTTATCTTAAGAGAATTGGAGAGATTAACATTAAGTCTGCAAGATTGAGAGGATTGGAGACAATAATTGGGAGGACTGGAGACAATAACATCAAGTCTGCATCCATGAAAGGCGTAAAAAGATGAAGCAAAGCGGCGGGGCTGAGGCATAATCTAACTTGGAAGCTTCTGTTTTCAATTTTGTTTTCTACCATCTACCTGTTCCATACATACCTGATATGTCTTCCACTGGACCCTAAATTTTCCCAACATGTCAGTTTGGCTGACTCATTCTGCATATATACCTCATTTATAGTTCACTGTGTCCTTCGAGAACCTCGTGTAGCTCCTCCATCTCGCCGCTGTTGTAGACCATGTCATAGAAGTAGCCCTTGTTTTTGTATAGGCTCTTGGGTGGACCAAGTCTGAAGAAAAGTTGAGTTAGTATCAATACCGCTTCTTGAAGGTAGCCATAGATTTACTTACTCAACAACCCTGCCCCCACTCATAACCACAACCGTATCGTAGTCAATAATCGTGCGTAACCTGTGGGCGATCGTGACCAAGGTGCTGTCGCCCCCGGAAGCTGCTAGTTCGCTACGCAGCACGCTTTGGATACCCCTATCCGTTTCGTAATCCATGCTGGCCGTTGCCTCATCGAGTAGCATCAGTTTGCTTCGCCTGATGAGAGCCCTGCAAAGCGAAAGGACCTGTCGTTGCCCGTGGGAAAAGTTCTCTCCGCGAGCGACAACCTCCGTGGACAGTTTGACACTTGCGTCCTCGTGACGGGAATCGGGATCGTCGCTATCATCATCAGAGAATGAAGCAATACCTTTGCAGTTATCCAAGGCATGACTGAGAACATCCCTCGGTACCTTCCCAGAAGGATCAAGGTTAGTCTCAACAGAGCCATTGAAAAGAACCGCTTCTTGGGGGATGATGGTCAGGCCTTCCCGTAGTCTGCGTCGGGGCACCTTGGTAATGTCGATTCCGTCGTAGAGTATTTGGCCGGACACGATATGCGTGAACCGCAAAAGCGACAACATGAGCTGCGCAGCCATCCAAATGTCAGCATATCAATTAGTGCCTCTGGTGCTCCCCACGTTCCCTTGACTTACCGTGCTCTTCCCTGAGCCAGTGCGGCCAATAACAGCTACCCTCTCACCAGATTTAAACCGTAGATTTACGTTCTTAAGAATATCCGGTCCGTCGGGGCTGTAGCGGATTGTCACATCTCTGAACTCGATATCGCCCGAACTTGGCCATGCCTTTGGAATGGTATGCTCTTCCGCATCAGCGTATTCGCCCTCCTCCGCATATGTTTCGTCGTTCTTTCCCTCCGGCTCCAACTTGACGAACTCAGTCACACGGTGAAACTAAATCAAAGTACCATATTAGCATGAAATATCAACAATGTAGAAGATAGGCGCCTATAGTGAGCCACTGCCAAAAGGGGGTGAAAAGAGAAGGAGACGAAAAACCAGCTTACACTTTGCATTTCAACCTCGAGATCATTCATAGCACGCACAATCGTCAGGATCGTCTGGCTCAGTCCGCTGGCGTTACTGAGAGAGAAACCAACCAGGCCTGCGCCGACTGTCCCGACCTTGGACACGGCAATGATGCCAGCACACAGGGTCACCAGAGCCGTCACGAAATCGATCCGGACAGCCACCCAGCGGTTGCAATTGAAGTTGGCCTCCGCGGATGCAGTCCACACCTGTAGCTTGGCAGCCAGCTCCGCCACGAATGCCTGCGACATCCCCGCCCGAGCTCTGATAACTGGGAGGCCTGCCAAAGTATCCGAGAACTGGGTGAAGACAGGAGACTGGGCGGAAGACGTGAGGCGTTTGATGACAACAGCCGTGCGGGTGTACATCTCTCCAACCACCACGCCAAACATGCATGTGAAGAGGGCTGGCAAAACGAAGATAGGCATGATGCTGCTCACGGCAGCAATACGGAAGATCAATTGCACGATCGAATCGAGAGTCATCCGAAGAATGCTGCTTATCTGTCCATCGACCGATGCCATGTCTCCCGAGAAGCGATTGGTAATGCGGCCAATCGGTATGGCCCTGAACCACGAAAGGGAGACACGCATGATTGCTCGTATAAAGTCATTGTGCAGTCTGCGAGCAGCCATCCAGGCACCCCACTCAAACACGATAATGACCACGGCATACGAACCGACCTCCAGGAATATCAACAGAGCAAATATTCCTAGATAATAAGCAATGTCAACATGAGCCTTCTGATTATAGGCCTCAACCCAGACGGAAAGCCAGAATGTGCTGTAGAACATGACAATGTTGTAGAACAGTAGAAAGGCAAAGCACATTCCTGCAACGATAGGATGGCCAAAATAGCTCATATACTGGAGAACTAGAAATTGTCAGCTTTTTGTATCTTGGAAGTTCATGCACAGGGAAAGCGTAGCCGTATAGCTTACACGTAAGACGTCCAATACCCCCAGAAGCCTTCATTTCCTGGTTAACAATATCCTTCGAAGAGGTATCCTCAGAGACTTTGACTGCCGTTCCGCTCATCGGGTCATCACTCGGCTGCAAATCCAACTCTGGAGGCGTCTGCAGCTCGTTCTCAGGAGCTTCTTCATCAATATCCTGTACCTCTGCAGCGGTAATCGGTTTCTGAACAACACCGATGTTTGCCTCGGCACTTTTTACCTTTCCTTTGTCCATAGTTATAGCCAAGTCACTCTGTGAAGCAATCCAGGGTATCTGAGTTACCAACACAACGGTCTTGCCTTTTAGGAGATCCCCGCAGAAGCATCGCTCCCACACCCTGGCAGCAGTCTTCGCATCGAGAGCAGCAAACACATCGTCGAGTAGGAGCAAAGGAGCCTTGGAATATAGTGCTCTCGCTAGTGCAACCCGAGCCTTTTGGCCGCCGGACAAGGATGTGCCATTCTCACCCACTATGGTCAGATCTCCATCATGGAGTTCGATGAAGTCATCCTCGAGGCAGCAGGCATCAACAACTCTATCATATCTAGACTTCTCCATAGGACTTCCAAAGAGAATATTAGACTTGATGGTATCGTTTCGAAGCCACGACGATTGGGATGAGAAGGCTACATCGTCCGGCCTTGTGATGCGCCCACCCTCTAGATAAGTTTCTCCCAAGATGGCAAGTAGTAAGGTCGTCTTCCCGCTGCCGCTGGGGCCGACAATCGTATTCAGGCCGCCCTGGACGAAGTCTAGAGAGATATCCTCGAGGCTGAAAAGGGCCTTTCTATTTCTGCGGAAATACCCCTTTTCTATTCTCAGGGGCCCAACGGGGTACTTCTCAAGAGGGGCAGTGCTTTCAAAATAACGGTCTAATCGGCCAAAGGCGACCATGGCACCGGCAAAATTGCGAGCAAAATAACTACCCTGCATGAAGTTTCTACGGATGTTTTTGACAAGAAATACGGTCGTGAAGGCAACCGACGCGTCTAGCCGCTTTTTCTTGAGCCCGACATGCAGACCAAACATGACAAGCAGAGAAAGGAAGGGGAATATCTGGGTTACCTGGTTGAGAATGGTCTGAATGACGGCGACGTTCCAGAGCTGCTTCTGCTCTTTTGCCCGAGATTCAATGACTTTCTGAGTAATTGCATCTTCCCAGGCAAAATACTTGATTGCACGAATGGACGCCAGGTACTCGGTCACGAGGGAAATTCTGGTATCTTGAGCCTTCCTCACCCGTGCCTGGGCGCTATAGGTCATGCGCCCCAAAACAACGGAGATGGGCATAGCGAATACCAGAATGGCGATTCCCACCAGTGAAGGCCATCCCATCATGCGATACATACCGACGGATGAGATTATGGTTCCGGCAGGTATCCCAACAGAAACCATGATGAAGTCTCGCGCCCGAAATATTGCATCCACATCGGCAGCCATGAGATTTGCCAGCCTGCCAGCAGAAGTCGTTGAATTCTGCTGCTTCTCCTCCTCCGCTTGTCCGTTGTTGTTAGTATCGCTTCGTTTCTGCTCTTGGATGTCAAAAGGATCTTCCTCCATTTCCATAGACTCCAGAGATCTATGGTACAGCTCCTGCGTCATCGCAGACTTGACTCGAACCACAAGGCGCGTCGAATTAAAGACGTACTGCTGGAAGAAAATGGAACGGGACATTGGGCCAATGAATAGCAATGATAACCACACCCATGGCTGGTATTGAGCATCATCTGGTGACGCCAGGAAGGCCAGAAGCTTGAACATGGCATATGGGGCAATGTTTTCCGCAACATAGGAGAGCCCGATCCACAGGGCCATAAGGCATAGCTCGGTCCTCTGGAATCGCAAAGCGGTCCATATAGTCTTTTTTGAAACAGAACGAGCTTCCTGGACCTTTCGTAAGAGATAGAGAGGTTCATCATACCAGGCTAATTTTGGAATGCTTGACATGTCCAGCTTTCGTTGTACGCCCTTCCAGACGAGGGGTGTAATCCACTCATAGGTACAGTAATAATTAAACCAACTGCATTTTTCCTCGAGTGAGGGTTCTTCATCTATGGGCTGGGTGGCTATATCACGCTCCAGACTTGGTGGAACCCATTCTCTTGGAGTGACCACCGCGATACATGTAGTCACGCCTAGGGCCAGGGTGCCAGCTACAACGCTTGAGTCGCTGCTGCAGGATGAACCAATCTCAACACATGGAAGGAAGTAAGCTGCGAGGTGAACGAAAAACACAGCCGTGAATACGAAGTTCACCTGGTGGAGAGCAAGGTGACGCCAGCCAATATCACCAATGAGGCGGAGCAGTCCAAGGACAAGCCCATATGTCAGGGCGGCGAGGCTTGGCCAGTGAACATAACCACGGGCCAGTGAAACCGCGCAGAATGCCACAGAAGCAGCGCGAGAGGCTTGTGAAGCCAGCTCAAAGGGCCATCCTATCTTAGATGCCCTAGACTTGGGTCTGATTGATGGATCCCCTCTCCTGTGGCGCCATAGTATGTTGAAGATGGTCAGTGTGACCGAGACACCAAGGATAATGGTCTGCGGCAAGCCAGAGAGGGCGATCTGAGAAACTTGAAGAATCCATGGAATAGTTGATAATCCAGGACTGAGGCTAGATACATGGGGTAAGATTAGGTGATACAGAGTCAGCCAAACCAAGTTCCCAGGACGCCGTCTTTTCAACGGGTGTGGATACTACAAACCTTGATTGAAATTGATCTACCTGTTGATTAGAACTGCCGGCAGCAGAATCCAGCCAAATTTCCGGTGATATGAGTCCCATCGTACCAAGCCATGGGAGGAAACGGCAAGCAAAGGACGGGAGACGGCGGCAGGCGGGTCAGGTGGAAGGAGGGTGGAAAAGAAGGCAAGGAAGATCATCGCATCCACGGGGGGGAGATCGCTCTACAAGTAACAATCACCGGCACGGCCCTCCGAGAAAGGGAGAAATCTAAGTGAGATGACAGCGGTAAGTCTCGGGCTCGCAAATGGCGGTCATACAGAACGACAGGCTGCATCACTAGAACTGCGCCGCGAGCGGGCCGGACGCATGGGAGAGAAGGCGCCATCTCCACCGTCCCTGCCCTCTGGCTGCGCTATTCCCGGGGAAGGATCCGCCCAGGCCACTTGCACCTCCCCCTTGCTTTACACGCATTGAATGAACAAGGAATTGTGCAACAAGGCATTGGCAAAGCCGGTCATTATCAACCATACCCGGGAGCTGGCTAGAGGTCCTAGTTGTTGATTTTCCCATGGGAAGATTCCATGAGAGATCAGTAGGAGAAGACCACCTCAAAATCACAACCGGCATCTTCCTTCTCCATCATCACGTCAAAACCACGTCGATGGCGTCAAGTCAGGCCGCCCGATGCTGGTCTAAATGTAGTCAATTGATCAAGAGAAAAACTAAGTTTGAGCATACACATGAAAAATTACATCCCACACCGGTGAAGACATGCCGACAAGGATATTTATGAGATATCGCCTGCAAGGGTCTCCGGTTTCGGTGTGCGGTTGCGAGTCGTGCCCACCGCTCAATTGTCACCAATGACTCTTCAGTTCAGTGCTTATTCGTAATCGGTCACCAGACCAACAATTGCTCGTATCGAGTGTCAACCCCAGTAAGCACACATTGTATAAGGTTTAATGGAGCATTGAACACTGGACATGGGCGGACTTCTTGTGTTCTTTGACAAGTTACAAGCACTTTTATCAGTGTAGTAAGTCTACTACCTTGTAACTGTAGATTATAGAATCAATAGTGGATTGCCGCTTGCTGAGTTGGCGGTCATGAGTTGAAACCAACTCGCTGTATTACTTTATTTTCTTTATGATATTGACATTGTTGTCGATACTTTGTATATTGTTACCATGTTCGAGATATCTTGGACAAGATAATCCAGTCTGCTATGCAATTTCGATCAAGAGCGACGAGATTATCGTCAACTTTCTAAGAGTTGGTTTCCCGGAGTAGCACCATGCGGCATAGAGGAAGGGTCGCCTTGATCCTCAGCCTTAATGAGAAATCTCCTTCAAAGCGTCTAGTTTGAGTGTGCAGTTGCAAGCCGAGCTCGCCGCTCAATCATCACCACTCTGCTTCAGCTCGGTCCGCCTACTCGTAATCGCTCACCGGACCAACAATCCCTTGTATCGATTTAATAGGGCTACCATCATTTCAGACAGATAGCATGGCGATAGAGCTATCAACAGTCAACTCTGAAAACCACTTACATCAACAAAAGGAGAACATATCACAGCCCCAAAAAATCGCGGAGAACGCAATGCCATATCATTAGTTACCGCATCTACCCACGTATATTTTCCATAGCGCAATCATAAGCATCTCTCTTTATAAGAACAATAAAAAAAAGAAAACGAAACACACAAAACAAAGAAAAAAAGACCCAGTCCGCATTTCATCTCCCAAACGCCAGACGTTGTGACCCCAAAGGGGGCGCGCGATCAAACCTTTCCACTGTCGTTGCCCACCACACACTCTGCTGGATGATCATCATTTCAGTGTTCTTCGTCATCGTCGTCGTCCCAGGCAGAAGGAAGTCTCATCGCATGAAGATTCACTTTTTCGCCTCAAACCAAAATCCCTCCAAGGGGTAGCGGGGAATGTCCATTGTGCTGTTTTTGAAAAGAGAAAAAAAAAGGAGAACAATTACTACATGAACCCATCCCTGTTGCTTTAATGGCCGCCAAAGCCCTCCTCCATATTAGCAACGTTGGCCTCCACATTATGGTAGTCTAGGATTTCTGAGTACCTGTGCCGAAATGTCAGTTTCCAACGCGGCAGACACAACGAGTTTGTCAAGAGGGAAAAAAAACTTACATCATGATCTTCCAAGTATCCACTGGCAAATCAGCATCGTTAAAGCTCCAGTCAAACTTCTCTTCCGCCACAGGCTCGTCTGTAGGGTCATGGTATGGCGCAAGGTATTCGTGGGCAAGAGCCTCTGTAGCTGTTATCCGCTTCTTGGGGTCGAATACGAGCATCCTCTCGAGCAGGTCAATGGCTGTCAAAAGGTTGTCAGCGGCTAGTCCCATGATACGAAACCAAAGTGTATCTACGAAACACACGTAGATCTCCAAATCCTAAAGACTTACAGGCAGGGTCGGCGTTCTTGAACTTATTCCTCAGGGGCTGGCGCTCTCGCTTTGGTAGCGACTTGACGAACCGCAGTGTCTGTGATTTCCAAGATCAGTAAACTGTACCTCCATCCGCAGCAGGGAGTGGATTCTACGCACGTTCTCGCTGGCGATTGTGTTGATGACATCATCGGGAGGTGTGCCCAGCAGCTCAGTGATAATGGAGAACTGGTTCACATGGTCCTTTCCAGGGAAGAGGGGCTTCCCGTCCAGCATCTCGGCGAAGATGCAGCCAGCGCTCCAGATGTCCACCTCGATGTCGTATTTTTGCCATGTGAGCATGATCTCGGGGGCTCGGTAGTATCTCGTCGAGACGTAGCCGGTCATCTGCGGGTCTTGGATACGGGCCAGGCCAAAGTCGCAAATCTTCAGATCGCAGTTTTCGTTGACGAGGATGTTGCTTGGTTTCAAGTCCCGATGGACGACACCCGCCGAGTGGACGTATTTCAAGCCTCGCTGCCAACTATATCAGTACAAATGAACACCGCACTCGCGGATCGCAAGGTGCATACCATGATCTGATAGAGAAAGTACTGAATGAATTGCTTCTCCAACGGCCTTGAGGTGAGCAAACGATGCAAATCGGTCCCGAGGAGCTCTGTGACAAAGTAACTGCGCGCGTTCAGTGCTGGCTCTCCAGATATATCAGGAATCGTGGCGGGACGTACAGATCTTCTAGCGGGGAAATAAAAATATCGCTGAGGGAGATGATCTTGAAAAAGGTGAGCTATAAGGCCTCCAGGCATGCTGCGTACGCTAGATCGTAGCAACACTCACATTCTCATGTCGAAGGTGCTTCAGCAGTTTGAGTTCGCGGTACGTTCGCTTGGCAAGGACTGGGGTGCTGAAGGGCTTCATGATCTTCTTGACGGCAACATTCTGGTTGGTGAGCTGATCTCGCGCAGAACTATTCCACACCATCCAAGGTCAGTATCGCAACTTATGGTTTCCTGCTTCAAGGGAGGGGCAGGAGGCGGGGCAAGAGCTGAAGAAGAAAGCTCTTAAAAGGGGTGAAGGGAAAAACGTACCATACGAGACCAAATGCTCCCATGCCCACAGGCTGGAGATCCGAGTACCTGAAATCATGCGTATCAGGACCTGAAGAAGCGCTTGGAAAGAACGGATTTTGCCCGCAGTGTGGGTTACCTTGAGGTGATCTCGAAAGTTGTGCCAAAGATCTGGGCGCGAACGAACTCGGCCATTGTGAATTATTGCTCTCTATTTCGCTTTCTGAAAAGATTTCAAGCAAAAAGGAAGGGTGTGGGTGCCCGTCGTCGTGCGATGGGCTTGAAGGTGACGCAGGTCTTCCTGGGCAAAAGGGAATGGCGGGGGAACCAGGCGAGGGAGGGGAGGGCGAATCCGTTACGCGCACGCGAAAACTGGTCGGCAATCGGACTAGGTTGAGCGGATTCGCAAAAAAAAATTGAAATATGGTTCCGGACAGGAGACGGTAAGACGATTATCTCGATGAAAAGAGGCCTTAGGAGTTTGCTGGGGGTGTGCAAGAGAAGGACGAACGAGAATGCCAAGAAGCTCCGCTGCTGGGGATTTCTAGGTAGTTGGTGGTACCTTGAAGCTTCTCTGGTTTTCGTGCTGAGAGAGATGCTCCAGCCACAGCTCTGACGTTCCAGCGACCGAGGGGAGGCGAAATGCGAGCAGGGCAAAGGAGTAAGGAGGAGCGGGGTAAAATGACCAGTACGTTATTCAGTGATCAATAATAGGCTGTGAGTGACACTGAAGGCCCGAAGCACAGGTACCTAAACCGGCGGGGCTCGCTGTAGCGCCAAGTGTCTCTGGCTCAGCTCTCTCCCTCGTAATGTCGTGTAATCGTGAGTAAACCAGCCTGGACACTAGAGTAAGCTATTTGGCTCAAAAAGCCCGGCGCGAGCGCGAATGAAATAGACAAGCTGCCGCCAGAGCCAACACGGCATCCACCCAAGCCCAAACCGCAGCTTGCAGGCCGTCGCCGTACGACCATCGCTGCCACATGCGATCTGTGCTTGGGTAGTGCTGGATAGGCCTAACAGCGCATCAAAGTCACGATGGCTGACAATCACCCCCGAATATGCCACACATGTAACGGGCACACGCAAGGTGCCCCGTCCAGGCCCGCCAGGGCCTCCAGGGTATAGGTAGCAATATCGAGGGGTGAGGGTACTTGGAAACAAGTAGAAGGCAAATAAAAAATAACGGCCAGTACTCACGTCGCAGAAAGAAGCACAGCTACTGGTATGCGCGCCGTTGGTATTGTAGTTCGTCTAAAGCTTGCTCGGCCGCGTGTCGCCGTCGAACGTATATACTTCCTCCGTGTACTCAATTCAGCTTGGCAAACGAGTGCTCGAAATGCAGAACCCGGAAAATCCCAGCGATGAGATTGTCTATCTGTCTTTTGGCGACGGGAGAAAAAAAAGAGCAGCGCGCGGTTGTTTTCTACTCAACCCCTTTCAACTAGTACTTGCAAGGCGGTCTGATGGGTCCCTGGTGATCGATCGAGATTTCTGCCAGCACCTCTTCTTACGATTGCCCCTCACTCGCTCTCGATCGTGTCGACGTCAGGGTTGGGGTCGCTGTCAGAATGTCTGGAAGTCAATTGACCGGTCTGCTATGCCACACCAAAGCAAGGGGAAACGGCCTCGACACGAAGGGTCTTGAGGATGGCAATGATTTGGGTCGGACAAGGACAAGCTTCTCTTGACTTGCGCATTGGAATGGGCAAGGATCTGAGAAAAGGTCGACCAAACTCGCACCGGATTTGCAGCGGGGGAGGGGCTTTATGATGACCATGGAAGTAATGCTATGACGGAGGTGGTCGTTATCAGTTCATACATAAACAATTACCCTTGCTAATGAATGGGTAAGTGCCAAAACTGGGTGTGTGAAGTGGCTCCAGGCACGATACCTGGCAGATTCCCATGCTTGATGGCATCATACCTCATCAGCTCTCCTGCACAACATGGGGCTGATAGAAACCCGTCTTCCCAAATCAGCCGTCTATTTTAAACACACCTCCCACCACTGATTCCTTCAAGATCCCTTCCATCCTCTTTGAAATTCTACAAAAAAAGAATAGGAGAAGAAGACTGTTTGACTACCTAATCAGCTACAATGAGCGCGAGCAAGCCTCTCTCCCATGAAAATAAACACTCTTCCCGGGCCTCGCTCACACGGTCGGGCATTTCTTATTTCTGGTGACGTCCTTGTGCTTGCAAGGCGGGGTTCTTCTTGCCGCATTCCTTGGCTCCCCTGTCCGACTAATGATCCTCCCGACCCTTGCTAGGTAAGGTAGCTGGCTGGAAGTTCCAAGGCAATCAAGCATTGCCTTCTTACTTGTCAGGTCCAAGCAGAAAGGAGCAGACTCTCCGGCCGCTCACCCATTCGCTTGTGTGGACAGTGCCCAATCTGTCTCTGGCGTCCAAAGTACCACACACACCGTTTGTCCCTCAGCCCAGGTGATGCTGTTGGCTGAGACACATCGACGGAAGCCTCCAGGGTGGGGCACTTCAATGCCCCTCAATCGGGCTACGAAGTCGTCACTATCGCACTGCATGTTCTCCTCCATGTATTTCTCTAGCCAAGGTACTAACGATTGTTAGCCCCCATGATTCCACTGTCGCGCTAGCAAACGGCTTTCATCGATCTGCCAGTGTAGAATCGGGGATTCTTAAATTGCATCGTCTGACCGGTTTCTCGAATTTTCACAAAGGCAAGTGTCGTGATCAAAGCTCATCAAGGCATTTTCCATGAAGCTGAATCGCACTAAGGGTGGGAAAATGCAACTTGGCTAAGCCTCTTTCGAGCTGCCAAAGCTCGGAAACTTTCTCGTCTGCTCGTGTCAAGTTAAACACTTTCTACATGGCATTGCTCATATGACGAAAGAGGCAAACAAATCTTTGGCGATAATGGTTATTTTAGGTGATGATATTCAGGAGTAATGAATGACAGGACACGTAGAGTAGCACACCAGAAACAAGCCCACACCCAAATGAAAGAATTAGTCGCGCCTAGGTAACGGCTCAACGTTCCAGATCCCATCAGCGTACTCGTAAATGCAACGGTCGCTGCTGAAGAAACCCATCCTGGCAACGGCCGTGATGGACTTGACAACCCACTGTTCTTGATCCCGATAGGCCTCATCCACAAGCTTGTGCGTCTCAATGTAGCTGTGGAAGTCGTCTGACACGAGGTAATAGTCACCATGATCCTTGACGGCTGCTATCATGGCACTGAAGTCATGCACAGAGCCGAATGTGCCCTTTTGAATCTCCTCGAACACCTTTGCGAGATCCGGGTCGATAGTGTGGGAGCCGTATGTATGTGCGTGGCGCAAGTCTTCAACGTCCTCGGCCAAGTTACCAAAGAGGAAAATGTTGTTCTCGCCAACTTCTCTGGTAATCTCGATCTATGTCTTGTCAGCGCTGCTTCACAAGGTAATACACAACAGCAAGCTTACATTTGCGCCATCACAAGTACCAATGATGAGCCCGCCGTTGAGGACGAACTTCATGTTGCTTGTTCCCGAGGCCCTGTGATATAGGTTAGCATCTTCTTTTAGAATAGATCAAGCTGATGTTTCACAGAGAATTTGGTGCGGCACGTACTCAGTCCCGGCAGTCGAGATATGCTCACTGATATCTGAAGCAGGGCAGATGATTTCTGCTTTACTGACGTTGTAGTCTTCAAGGAAAAGTACTTTGAGAAGGTCGCCGATATCTTCATCGTTGTTCACAACCGAACCAACAGCGTTGATCAAATGAATGATTTGCTTGGCCATCCAGTAACCCGGAGCAGCCTTTCCACCAAAGATGGAGACTCGTGGCAGCTGCTTCTTCCTCTCTGCCGGGGTCATGGCCTTCAGTGTCAGATATCGGTGGATAACACCAAAGATGTTCAACTGCTGCCGCTTGTACTCGTGGATTCTCTTGACCTGGACGTCGAAAAGAGCAGACGGGTTCACATTAACCCCCGTAGTTTCCTTGATGTATTTGGCAAGCCGGACTTTGTTGGCAAACTTGATCTCTGCCCACTCCTTCTTGAATTCTTTATCTTGGACTAAAAGTTCGAGCTTGTTTAATTGTGAGAGATCTTTGAGGAACTCATGGCTTCCTAGTTTGGAGGCGATCAGCTCAGAGAGGCGAGGGTTCGCCTGGTGAAGCCAGCGTCGAGGCGTGATGCCATTGGTCACATTTGTAAACCGGTCTGGGCCATATATCTCGACAAAATCCTTGAAAATAGTCGTCTTGATGAGATCGGAGTGGAGCTCTGCCACGCCATTCACCTTGTGAGAGCCCACAATGGCGAGGTGGGCCATTCTCACCATTTTTGGTTGCGACTCTTCAATGATGGAGACTCTAGTGAGAATATCTCGGTCATCTGGGAACTGTTTCTCAACGGACTGTAGGAAGAAAAGGTTGATGTCGTAGATGATCTGAAGATGTCGAGGGAGGAGATGCTGGACAAGCCCAACTGGCCATTTCTCCAAAGCTTCAGGCAGCACGGTATGATTGGTGTAACCAAACTGCGACTATTTAGCAGGGTACTCAATAATTAGTAAACGGGTTGATTCAGCTTACCGTGCCGGTCACGATTTCCCAAGCCAAGTCCCATTCAAGCCCTTCAACATCGATCAAGATGCGCTGCAGTTCCACGATTGCCAAAGTCGGGTGTGTATCATTGAGTTGGATTGCCACCTGCTCTGGGAATTCTCTCCAGGCTCGCTTGGACTTCTTGAAACGACGGACGATATCGTAGAGAGAAGCAGCTACCCAAAAGTATTGTTGCTTAAGACGGAGCTCTTTGCCCCTCTCAAGGTTGTCATTTGGGTATAGCACGTTACTGATCGTCTCAGCACGTTGCTGCTCAGCAACTGAGCTTTCGTAATCTCCACTATTGAACTTCTGAAAGTCAAACTCGCCTCCCGATGCCTTGCTGGACCAGAGTCGGAGGTTATTGGTAGTTGGTGTGTCATATCCAGGGATAGGAACATCGTAGGCAACCGCCACTACGATTTCACCACCTTCCCAGACAGCCACGGATTTCCCCTCCTCATTGGTCACCTTCTTAACTGAGCCAAAGAATTGGACCTTGGATTCAAGTCAGCATAAACGATTTCAACAATAGACTTCCGACCACTTACATCCACGGTGACATCATGTCGAGGGAACTCCCATGGATTGAAGTCAAGCCAATAATCTGGAACTTCGACTTGATATCCATCAATAATTTCTTGCTTGAATATACCGTATCGGTAACGTAGACCGTATCCCCAGGCTGGGAAATCAAGAGAAGCAAGACTGTCGAGGAAACAAGCGGCGAGTCGACCAAGACCACCGTTGCCCAAAGCAGCATCGTGCTCCTGACCAATGATGTCCTCGATGCGGAATCCAAGGTCAGCAAGACCAGCTGATAATTTGCGTTAGTAAAGAGATCAAACAGGAGGGGGTTGGTGACGCACCCTTGGCAGTATCTTTCATCCCTACATTGAGCATAGCATTGTCCAATGCTCTTCCCATGAGGAATTCCAGACTGAGGTAGTAGACCCGCTTCGAATCGCGGTAGGTCTGGCGCTGCTGTGTTTTGTTCCAGTCTAGAATGAGACGGTCGCGAAACGCAAGACTGGTAGCAGAGTATGCAGCCTTCTCGTCGCAGTTGAACATGCTACGGGCAAGCGAAGTTTCAACATGGCGAACCACTTCTTTTTCAAACTCGTCCGAGGATTTAAACGCCGCAGTCTGGTTGCGCTTCCATGCCTCTCGCTGTGGCTCTGGGATCGATGCTGTTGAATGGGAAATGATATCAGTACATGGCTAATAGAGCTGATCACAGCACACCGAGAGCGGGGCAGAGAAGATCATGCAAGGGAAGCAAAGGAAGGGGCATTTGAGCTAGACTTTCTGTTGGAATTGGAGTTTTCGTTTTCTGAACATACCCTCGACGCTCTTGATCTCTCCTGGACCAAAACCAGTGGCGGTTCTCTTGTGTTTTGGGCGAGTGATGCCTTCGGGACCAACAGAGCCCTGGATATCCACAATGGGAGCTGATGTGGAGGGGCGGCGCTGCCTGCTGGGGAGCTTCTGTTCGGTCGACATCCTGGCGGTGAGATCCGTGGTCTATCAATCGATGAAGCCAGAGACTCTGGTTTATAGAACAGACGAGATATTCTGGGAATGGCCTGCCAGAAAGGATCTCTTCTCGCGGACACGAACAGGTGACTTGAGCTCAGCTCGATAAGCTACCTGCTGAAGCTCTCCGGAGCTGGTAAGTCGAGGTGGGGCAGCGGGGTGCTTTTGGAGCTCAGCGGCGGGGCAGCTCCAGAGGATTGAACGCTGATGCGATGCAGCTTGGGCAAGGTTGGAATGCGAACAGGGGCCTCCGGGCTCTAGCTACAGCTAGATAGAGGCTTAGTAGGCAGGACGGGGTGCGGAGAAGCGACAGATCAGCGTCCAGATGGGCTGATGGGTGGCTCTCCGTTTCCCAGCGTCAATGAGATGCTAGGTGCTGTAAAGATACGAATGACAAAGGGTAGAATGGGCATTGGCGTGCGGAGGGGAAGAGAGAGGAGGAGGGAAGAGGGGAACAAGAAGATGTGATCATCGGCTCCCTTATACTCGCTTGCACCAGCAGGAGGACCTGAAGCAGCACACCCAAAGTAGTGCCCAGGCTAAAACTTGGAAGTTAATAGAGCATCAGACCACCTTCCCGGCAACTTGCAGTCTGAGCTGGACTCCCCCTACCTCAATTGGAGACTGAAGGTTTTCGTGCTCCGCGCCTGGGGCAGGCTCATCTGCTCGCTGACGACACCGTCAGTGGGACCAGGCTCGGTTTACCTTGTCGGTGATGCGTAGGGGTAACAGTCGGAACCCCAGCAGCCAATCTAGAGTCGCATGCGATGGGTAGCGAGGTTGATGCTGCATCGTATCCTACAAGGCACCCCTCCCAAGCTTGCCGAGCAAATCGATCTAGTGCTGATTGTGCGATTGGAGAGCTCCAGCACCCAGCACTCGTGGATATGTGCGGTGCCACAATCAGTCGGTCGTGCTTGCCACCCGCTGTCTGGCTCCCTCGCAACTGGAAAGACCGATCATGCGTCTTTCAATCCATCCATTGAATTGATGCATCAATGGCCGCAGGAACCTCCCCTTGGACGAGCTTGTATGAATCCGGAGCGGCTACTAAACCAACACCACCGAGGTCGCCGTGCAGAGCCTAAGCCTCAAGACCTGAGTACACAGAGAATCTGGAAAGAGAATTCCCCGATTCAGACATGCCAAAATAAGGAGCAGTCAAGAAATCCATCTGCAAAATCAGGACATCATTGGCCAACGTATCTGTGCTACGTACCTGGCAGCTTCACCGGCATTCAAGCTCTGCCCATCACCATCCTGGCCTGCCAACCCTGTACATCCCTATCGCCCCAATTCAAAGTCCCCGAGCGCAGATAACGCAAACCCTTCTTATTACCTGCCTTCCCATGAAAACCAAGGCGAACCTTCTCCATAGAAAATGCCAAGAAAGAGCCAGCAAGGACTGAACTCATCCGACTGGGTTATCCCTTTGATTCTGGAGTGACATGTTGCAAAACAGAGCTAACGTATTGACCTGCCAAGGGAAACCACAGTTTCAAGGGGGGCCATGAACACACAGCTCTTGAGTTTCCATAAGGTAACGCCCTGCCTGTGTAACCCATGCCACCTGACCGCAATCGAGATGGCTGCCAAACCTAGTATTGCTGCAACTCGACCATCTCGTGTCTTGTCTATCCCCCCCCCCCGAGCTAAAAGAAGCATCGTAAGTGCTGCCCCTCTCCCGGCTCTAGCCTGGTCCGGCACCTCCATGCTAGTCTTATTTAGAGCTTCGTGCGCCAAAGGGGAGGACCCGGCCAATGGTTCTCTGTAGGCTGGCATGCATGCGCTTCTCTGTCACGTTCGCTGCTCCCCTGCCCTACTGCATCACGTTGTCTTGCTGGTTTGACATACATGCATGAGATTAAGTGGCCAGTGCGGGGCAGAGGCAACCTACTCTGACAATTGACCAACCAACCATTTAGATACACTGCCCCATCACAACTCGCTGCATCCCAATGCAGGCAGCCGTGGCTTCCGAGTGAACTTCGATGGTGTGCCCAGTGACTCAAGACTAATTACCTTTCATCCTCACAAGCATCAAGTTGACCCACGTAATTGAAATTCACAACCGCGTGAAGTGAGTGTCTATTGTATAGAACCCCTACTTCACCTCGGGCCTCAGCCGTAGTATTTGAACGTTGGTATCGACCCCTATATATATGGTTGAAAACAGTTCGAGGAACAAGAAGAATAAAAAAATTGGAGGGAACTATCCTCTCCAGAAATGAAGGATAAAAAACGCCAAAGAGAAAAAAAGAAACTCGCCAAACTCCTCAGCTCCTAGCATGGTGAAGGAACTCAAATGCTCCAATGTAAACGTTTAACACACCCTTCCGAGAGGCCTAACCATTTCGTTCCGAACTGTTCATCCCTGTGAAATTTCCAATCCTAGCTGTCCCAAAAGCAAGCCTCCCAAATATATATTCATGTAGTCATTGGACCTCTGTAGGCTGAATCATACAAGGCGCCTTGTAGCAGCCTTCCAATAGTTTCGTTGGTAAATACCGGTGGATCTGGTACCTCACAGTATTTTCTTTTGTCGTTTCTTTTTCCATTTGTTTGGTACGACACCGGCATGTATAGTTGTTGTATCCCCCAAATTCGATGACTCTCTTTAGTCGAATAACAGTTGCCTTCGGAGCCTGTCGACAGCCGGGGAAGGCTATGGTACTGATATGCGTTGCTGCAACAGAGTCCCAGTTTTATGCGTCTCTTCCTCTGATCACGCTTCGAAGATGCCATAAGAAATGTCCCACAACCGCTTCTCCATCGGTGCTGTCAATGGCAAATGAGCCGCTCTTGCAAGAAAGCATAATTTCTATGCAAATAGGCGAATTTGTATTTTGAGGAGGATAGGATCCAGCCCCGTTATAGAATTCCTGAATCTTTCAGCGCATTGTTTAGAATCGTCTCCTTGACGGCTGCAAAAACAAGCCGAATGTTCGATGTGTCGGTCGCTTGCGTTAAGCTAAACCATTGTTAGCATCTGCAGACATTCTGATACTGGACAAAAGCAAGATACATACTGAGGGTATAGGTTGAGGTGCGCCCTGTTCACTTGATTGAAGCGCCAGAGCAAGTACTTGGCGGCCTTGTTCACGTCACTACCGCCCGAGTAGTCGGGGAAATAGTTCCCCAACGGCGACCTGCTAAGTTTCTGCTTGAAAATGTCGACCTTGTTTAGGAAGAGGATGATACTAGTCCTCATAAACCAGCGCGAGTTAACGACAGAATCGAATAAGAGTAAACTCTCCATCATGCGGTTCTGTTGCTATTAGTACTAGCTTTTTTTCAACAGCACGTAAGAGAACTCACCTGGCTGCTTTCTTCGAGAAGGACTTGGTCGTACTCGCTGAGAGCAACACAAAAGATAATCGAGGTGACGTTTTCAAAGCAGTGAATCCACTTCTTCCTTTCGCTTCTTTGGCCGCCGACATCGAACATGCTACCAGGGAGGTTAGCGAGTTTATCTCGCGGAACGTATACCGTAGTTGAACTTACTGTATACTAAGCTGACCCATTTGGAAACGAGTCTCGTAGATGCCGGTGGTTTTCGTACGAGCTCGCAGCACATCCATTTCGCTCGGTAAATAATCTGGCGCACAGATGCGCACAGCCTCTTGGAAGAAACTGCGCCCAGGTCAGCTTGGGTACACTTTGGTGGAATATTTTGCGATCTGTGGTTGAGGGACGCTCTTACTATTCAGCCGAATCCATCAAGTAGAACTCGGTTTGGTGCTCCATCAACTGGGCCTTTGAGGGATCATTCCACAAAGACTGAACAGCAATGCCAACCTGCGGATCGATATGTGCTTGCGGTCCTGATTCGGGCTGGTAGTCCAACATAAACTGGGCAAACTCCTTATTTTCCGCAATCTCCGGGACGATATTAAATTGTTGCATCGCAGTAATGACAGCCTTGGCACATTCCACCAGATTCTTGAAGACGGTCGGTCGGTAGTTGAACAGTTCGTCTTCGGAGTAGCCTTTGAGGTGGATGATTTTCATCTGCTTGACGATGGTGGACTTGCCACTCTCACCGGAGCCTGTGTCGCTGGCTGTTAGCTACCTTGCACCACCGCATCGAGCGAGATGTGAATTTTCAAGCATACCTAGGAGCAAGATCTTGCATTCTTTCCGTAACTTTTTCGAGTCTTCTTCTAGCATCTTATCTATCGCCTGACTTTTCTTCTTCTGGTCCGCCTCCTCATTGCTTGAGCTCATACAGGCGCCCATGGTGGGCAGTCTCGAGCCTTCACGAGTTAGGCAGGAAATTCAAGGGGCTCCGACTTCGATTATCGCGGTTCGGGTCTGGTAAGCCATAAACCGCACTCTACTGTCGCATTATAGTCGTCGATGTTTCGAGAATGAAGGCGATTTGTGGATTGTCAGCCTCGGGGGCTGTCCCGCAACAAGTCCGGCCAGCTGCGGGAGACTCGGTAGAGGGATGGAGTCGCGTAATGCACTGGAACGCCGAGGGTGGGTGTGTTTCAATTGTAGAAAGTCGGGAAGGAGAGATTATCGAGAGTTGTTTCTATTCCAGGGTGTAAATGGCGCAGTGCTGTTGCCCTGGGTTGGGTGCCGGCGGAATTGAGAAGGCAGGGTGTCGAGGGCGGTGCGCCTGGCTGCGATGACAATTCGGCGAGTCGTCGATTCTGGTGCACCAATTGGCGTTGGCTCCGGGCGAAGTGATGTACTGGTGTGGAGGCGGAGGTTGGGGACTCTAGCCTGACAGGTGGCCGATGTTCTGCATGCGTGCTTTAAGGGAGCGATGGGGATGTTCAGATCTGCTTCGAGTCGAGAAGCAGCCGGTGGGCGAGAGGTCGTTGTAGGACAATGGTGAGATGAAGGTTGGCAGGTTGGAATCAGACGGGTTCAGCTCTTAGCCGTCGTTTGTTCATTAAGTCCTCGCCTGAACATAAGACAGATAAAACAAGCCGAGCTAGGATTGTTGCAGCGAGGTACCCCGTAGTACCCGTACTTAGCCTAGTGTGGCATGTACCTACCAGCGGCCGACGGTTTTGCTCTGGCGCTCGGACACGGCTTGCCTTGTTCCTCGAAGGATGCAGATCACAGAATGCACGGCGTCTTGAGTCGTCTCCCTTGCTCGGGGGAGAAACATGCAGTGGTGTTGAACAGAACTGGACGGGGCTGGGCTGGGCGGCCTAGAAGAGGGAATAAACAAAGTTCAAGTAGTCGAGCCGCTTCGCTTGGGCTAATATGGTACGAGGTGGGTGCACCAGCTCGAGGGTACCAAGGCCAGCGGTCAGGTATGGAGGTATGGAGTATGGGGAGCGGACTGGCGGGCTGGCTGCGAGGCGGATGGGCGTAAGCTCCCATGATGGAATTGACGCCTGCTGGGTACGGACTGGACAGTCATACGTGCCGGGGGCAGAGCGATCTGGAATTCGAGCCTGCCTCTACTGGCCCCCTGCAAGCTGCCTTACCTTGATCGGGCGCAGCCAAGTCCACTGAAAGGAAGCAGAAGAAGAAAAGAAAAAAAAAACGCGGCCACTCTAGTGGTCGAAGCCGCTTTGCTTCAGATATGCTCCTGCCTGCGATGGAGGCACATGGTCTGGGCACGCTCGTGGCTTCACGGACGGCCCCATTACACTGATGGGACGTAATACCTTACCTCACCTCACCTTACTTGCATTCAGCCTGCTGCTTAGGGACCTCCTACACTCCGTCGCTGCCGACACGCGCGCAGCGCAGAGACGGCCTGTACATATGTCCATGCAACCAGTTGCGTGCGTAGAGCTGTTGGTAGACCTTTAGAACTCTCCCCACGATGGATGGCTTTCGATTCCGAGTCCAAGCCCAGAAGCTAGCACCGACAGTGCACATCACAGCTAGATTCGGCAGTTGCGGGTTTTAGGCTAAGCATAGCGCCATAGTATCCTGCTCTGTAGCTTTCCATCCGGGCACAGGCACCCCGTTATTCCACCAGGCCGCTGCGCAGAATCAATAGTTGCATTGCCATGGATGTCGTTGACTTGTATGCAGCTATAACGCATACCTGTTTACATACGACACATGGCAGTGGTACACAGAGTGGAAATGCAGGGCTCCATGTGCCGCTGGCTGGCCATCAGCTTTGATTGAACTGAGGCGTACGCCCGAGGCCAATCTCCCCAAAATTGAAACCTCCCAGCCGCCGATTTGCATGCGATGGGATAAAGGCATGAATTATTGCCCTGGGAGCCAAAACGCCCACACCTGCATGAGCAACCATCATCTGATCCATGAAATAAGATGGACATGGGAGTTCAATACGGGCTCTAAGCACAACCTTGGCAAGGCAATCGGTGACATCGAGGAGGCGAGGGAGGCTGTCGAGCCGCCATGTGCCATGACATAGCAATTTTGCGTGCACCCTTGCATCCCACGAACTGCACTTCTATCCAACCATTACCACCTAAACGATCTTGGGCTTTTTATTGAGTCATTGCCCACCCTGCGATGGCCAGTTTGCCTTTTCATAGGTAGTGAGCTAGGGGCGCTGGTACCTTGGTATACATGCACACATCAGAGACATGAAAAAAGGAAGGAAAAGGGAGCTGCGCATGATGCCAATAGCCAAAAGGCGGCGTCCATGCAATGCCTGGCGCGCGTGGGCCTCCCGGTATGACCTTGTCCAACCCTTCATGCGGCTGCCACTGGAAGCGGCATGGCGGCCTTTCCTCTATGCTTCTGGAAACATCCTGTAAGAGCACTAACATGCTAACGGCTGCAAGCAGCTTCCCAGCTGGCCGTGACAGATGAAGAATAGCACGATAGCCGATGTAGGTGTGCCTACCAATCAGCGATCCGGAAGCGGCGTGTGCAGCGCAGGCTCGTTCGATCTGGACCATGCTAGCCCAAAGGCTCTTCAACATGAATCGACTCGTCGCCTGGAATCCAGACACATTCCCATAGTAGGTACTTGGCAATACAAGGAGACTGGGCGGCGCAATTTTACTTTGGGTGAGGGGGTTGGGACAACGCCTGGATGTCCCTCTCAGCCCCTAATGCTTGCCCGCCAGGTATTGGCCCAGGTATTGCCTAGTTATTCCTCGGGTAGCCAATTACGACCCCGGAACGTGGCAGGGAACTACACGTGGTTTTGTTGCCAGAAAATGAAATCGGTGAGATAATCATGTCGGTTCAAGGTGCAAGGACCACCAGTAGCAGATCCTCCACGCTCGCTTGCTAAAAACAAATTCGTTGCCAGCTGACAAGGCTCGGCTCGATGCGGATTCCTTACAGGCTGCCTACAGAGTAAGCTATTGTCACTTTCTGTGCGACAATGGAATGAGTTAGCCCGTTACGTCAGGGCTGGATAGGATCTGAAGAGTTGGAATTTATTCTAGATATCTTGTTAGTGGGTCTGACAGAGAGGTGGTAAAAGCTTTGCTGTCTGGAAGCTACCGAGTAGGTGAAATAAGACATGGCATATCGAGATAGTGCAGTATTAAATTTCAACACAATAGCACGATAAATAAACTCGTACTGAATACAATATCAAGCTAAATATCATAGAATAGTTTATTATTCTCTGATTATTGTGTTTAGTTAGAAAATGAGGTCCTTGCCTCACGCGGACAGAGCTTTGGTGTGCCACGTTTTATTCCACCCACTTGGCTACCTACTAAGTACCGACAGGTTGGTCAATGCGACAGCTTTTGGATAGCAGCGATGTTACTCTGATGGATAGCGCTAGGAGACTGTTAACCACCGATATGCCCTTAGATATATGTAGACTTATTATTTGGGGTACTTGCTCATCTTTTACCAAAAGCCTCATGAAGGACGCAATTTTTAGGGGAGGGCAGAAAGTATAGCTCGTTGTGTAACACACACCTGCCCTGGGGCGGCCACAGGAATAGAAAAGGCGAAACAGCCCGGGGTCCCGGATAATAGGAAAATGCCCCTGACCGGTTCCCGTGTCGGCGAAAGGACTATAACACCTATGGAATCTGGATATTTTGTCTGCAGACACTTCAAAGTACCGAATCGTATTGAACAATCGAACCACCCATTAAGCTTCGCTCTACGGAGAAGGAGTGGGGGGTGGCTTGGTTGCTCCGGATGCACCCACCAGCAAGCACTTGACAGCTGAATTGGCTATTCGGGTCCGTGTTCCATCGGATGATCGGAGGGCTAGAGTAGTAGCGCGCTCGCAATGACTCTGGGAAGAGGGTAAGCTCTCCCTAGGCCACTCCTGTAGCTGGCCATCCTCTTAATCACCTGCTAATAAAATAGGGAGGGTGACCGGCGATCTAGAAAGTAGGGTAAAAGTCAGTCGATTTCAAGGGTGAATATCGCTGCATGGAGTGACGTGACGCTTGTGGGTGACTGGTAGTGAGCTGCTAATAGGACGTCGTTCATAGTAAGCAAATAGGTGTGTCAAGTGATCACCGTAGAATGTCCTCTCCATTCGATGTTACAAGGCTAGTGCGGTGAAAGGGCTGCATCGGTTGGGTCCGCGATTGTACAGCAGAGTGAGAGGGGCATTGATGGTGTGCCACCTGGGAAACAGACGTGGCTGCCTACCGGCGAAAAGATGAAACCATCAAATGATGATTGGTGCCGCTACCATACGGCTTCTCGGTAATGCGCTGCGTTTCGAGTGTAAAGGAGAATCAAAGATAAAACCCAGTATTAGCTAATGAAGGGTCAGAAGCTCCATCAGACACGGGGGAGGATAAAAAAGCCGTCTCAGGAGCTGAAACGGCAAGGCGGCCTGACGATACGGCAATACCTCGAGGCTGGTAGGTAATTACCACATCTGGCCCGACCCCATGTATCAGCTCCGCAAAACTCTATTCCGGACAACAACGAAGACGGCCAGCGAGCACAATCAGTGCCGGGCAGCCACCGTGGGTCTTGGCCCAAGCATGTGTTTGTGCAGGATGACAGCTCGGACGGCAGATTCAGCTCAAAACGATTTGCCGGGGACCAGGAGGGAGCGATATGCAATGCAAGACACGCTGGCAGCCCAGACCGAAACCTGGATGGCTGGATACCACGTCCTGCCGATTGTTGGCTGAGCCCACTTAAAGAGGAGATGGGAAGGGTGTTAAGCTTTGCCGCCATTTGAGCGGTCGGAGCGACGGTAAAGGCCAGCTGTAATGAGAATGGCTGCTCGCCGCTATCCAGCCATCCAGTCGATTTTGAAGAATAGGCTGCTTTGTATTCAGATGCTACCTCCCTGGTCGGTGAGAGGAGATGCTTGCATTACCTGCATGGTCGAT